ACATACACATAAGTTACGTAGGTATATCTATTTATATTGCTGCAGGAAGGGCCATTTAAATTCAAAACTATTGGATTCAGCCATTTAGGATCCGTCGACCCTTTTTTAGTAGACGCGCGCTCCGATGGAATCTATTCTCAAAATTCAGTTTTTTTTGGGTAGACAGAAAATGGCCATTCTTTCTTCCCAAATAAGTCTCCGCAGTCTGCTTTGATCTTTCCTCGTTTTGTTAGTCCTTTATCTCCGGCAGTGGTCTTTTATGGTAAGACCTTTTCTAATACATTGATGCGTTCGGATGTATTAGTGTTGAATATTGGCAAACATAAAAAGTCAAATATACACGGATTATTGTCGGTAAACCATATTATTTGAAATATTATTCATCATAAATTTTTTAAAATAAGTTAGTAGCTTCTACTATGATACTTGAGATCTCGTATTTAAGTTTATGTGTAATTTAAGAATATGTTTATAACATCACCATTAAGATGACGACGAATTTATCTCCCTTACAACGGTGCAGTGTTGAGAAGTGGGTTCGGAGAAATTGACTCGTAACATTTCTATTTGTTTACTTTTCCCAGCGTATGCTTCCAAGCACTTGTCGCAATACATTAAGATGCTATATAATGTGCAGTTTAAACAACAAATAATGATTTACTTTGCTAGCATATTACCCAGGTCTAAAGGTTCACCTTTGACCTGCAAGCGTCGCTCTTTATCAGATACCGGGAACAAACAATCGAAGGGGCCACGAAACAAGACCTTAATAGGGCCCCATTCCGCGAATAAACCAAGACTCATGTCACGAATGGAAAGTTGCTAGGGACTGTGACGCAAGCATTCCCCGCGTGATTTAAGGCACGCGCCTCTTGAACGAAGAGCTGTTCCTTATAAATAATTATAACGATGCTTTGAAGGTGCAATGTTTTTTAGCCATATGCTTTTTAACCGCATTTATTTATTCAAGTCGTATTAATCTGTATTAGCAATGCAAAGGCGTGTGTTGCAAAGAAAATAACGTCAGCAACGGCCACTAATGTGGTTGGTTGTACCTATATTTAACAATTATTTTGTTGTAAGCGAAAAATGTATTAGTCTCCATTAAAAGATTATTTATTAAAAAAATATATTTTAATTTTTTCATTACAATTATTTACTTTAATGTTATGTTAAATCTTCGTAAAATTGAATTGGTATGGTGCAGACGCGCGGTGTCGGCGAAGATCAAAAGCAGGCCGCGTCTGTCTAGACAACATCGTCTTGCAATAGTCAGGCGTTGCGCCAAACGTCGCAAATTTGCATAGTGCATTTGCACTATTTGCTCTGTGTGGTCATGGGCTAATGCCTACGGCTCAAACGTGCCTACTTTATTTAAAGACCCGCTGCGTTTAATACTAAAATGGGTAAATACCAGAAATTTTTGCGATGAGAATTTAAATAGATAATTAGGCGCAACATTTATGCAAACGTAATATAAAACACACATACATATATTAACAGACGACATACTTTTACACATTGTATAACACAATGTAAGAATCTAATTCCCTAAGACTAGCCTAAATTTTCGTTCATCTTCTTACTACTAAGATCCAAACGTCTCTGGCTGGAAAACTTGTCGAAGATCGTCTAATTTTCTTCAAGGCATGTGGTGGGGATTCATATCCGATACGATTCAACCACTGCCCTTATGTAGGTAAGTGGAATAAATTTAAACAATAAACTGAATAAGAAATAATTACATACATAACATAACATAGTATAAAATATCATTTATCAATCAATGGGCAGTCTATGGGGGAGGCCTATGTTCAGCAGTGAACTCAAACAGGCTGAAATGATGTTGATGATGGTCAATCATTCGAGAAAATATTAAAATATTTGTACAGGCGAATTTTATATAACTATTAGACCTTTTTAAAGGCAAAACATAATTGCGTTTTCCGCCGAATTCTAATAATCAAATTACGTACTTTATAACTTTTGATGAAAAACATTTCGGTTTCGTAATTAAATTAACAGCTTTAGAACTATCAATTTGTTCGCTCTAGTTCGACGCCCTTGTTGTTCGAAATCTGTTTGCTTTGTTGCTTTGACAAGCGTAATGCTTGTGTCAACAATTTGTGCCGTTTCGTAAGAATTGTTTGTATAACTTAGGTTGGCCTACGTTAAAGTTTATATAGATGTAAGGAAACATGCTAACATATTATATTGTACTTGTTACTATTATATTGTATTGTACTAATTAACATTTTTACTGACAAAAACAAAACCAAGTTCAAATAGCTCACTGACATTTGGTATTTGATTTTGAGGAGTTTCCTGATGTCTCTCTGGAGTTGAAGGTCCAATAAAATTAATACAGGATCACAAAGAAACTAAACCAAACCCTATGAAAAAGATTTTTGGAACCACCGAGTTCTAAGTTCAAACGTAAAAAAAATTGAACCGAATTGAGAAGTCGGTTGGGAATTGTTACCTACGTATCTTTTAATATCAAACTCCTGTCTTATGAAAACTAGTTTATACCCACGAGTTATCTCCGTGGATCTAGTTATGGAGATTTTTTATTTTGATTCAAATCAGACAGATTACAAGTAAATATTTTCATAGCTTACGAACCTACAAGATTACAAAATTTAATATTCATGAAAAATTAAGTTAAAACTCCTGTTTAAAACCCTTTGATGTTCTTGAAATCCGTTCAGCTTATTCGAGATAAATTTACAGGCAAGAGGCAAAATTTCTAAAAGTGGTCTTTAATATAGTGCATAGTATAAAAAGCAGGATTATCGTGAATTCTAACATTTATTTTAAAATCTCCGAAAGACTCTCAAACTCTGTTCGCGTTTTCAGTATCTATTATTTGCTAATGCAAAAATGCAAAATTATTTGCTAATCGGCGGTGTGCCAGTGGACGCGACAGCTCTAAGCACCACATTGCCATGTTCGATAAACACCATAGAATGTCGACAAAAATTGTTATCATGCTCGTTAGACTAAAGATCTTCGAGCTCGAATTCATTCAATTCATAACAAGAGAATCTAATTAAAATTGCAGACCTAAACACATCTGCGTCCACGTACTGTTCGTTGTAAAAAAGTAAAAAGTAAAGTAACAGCCTAAACATGTCCCACTGCTGGGCAAAGGCCTCCTCTATACAGAGGGTATCAGGGCATAGTCCACCACGCGGCCCCACTGCGGATTGGCGGACTTCACATATCTTCGAAATATTTTTTGTTATTATTTCGAAAATATGCAGGTTTCCTCACGATGTTTTCCTTCACCGCGGAGCACGTGATAAGTCAGCACTTAAAGTTAAAAACTTCATTGGTGCCGGCACCGGGGATCGAACTCAGGTTGCTCGAGTATATTGAATTAAAGGCGAGCGCCCGGACACTGAGCTATCACGGTTTCGTTGTAATAAATCCAAACTGTCTGCAGGCTAAGGAGGGGCAGACCATTCCTCGGAGATTTGTGGTCCAATTTAAAATGCAGAAACGAAAGGGGCCTTTACGGGAGCGTTTAAATTTTATCTCGCGGCTAGCAATGGAAGCAGTTTCGCTTCGGTGGAAATCATTCGGAACGCAATAAAAGACGTACACGCATTCGCCGATACAATGGCGCCCGCCCCGCTGAATTGAATGGCGGACTAGAGAATCAAAGTTGCATCGCCGCAATACTACACAATCAGGACGGGTCGGGCCGCGCGGATGAATTGGCAACAAAGGGCGTCGTTTGAACTGGCAATGTGTCCAAACGTCGCGCGCGTACGTCGCCTGTACATGCGCATGTCACATGTCACATCAAATTGCACGTAGCGGTTGTTCATTCAAGACGTGTCAAGGTATAACTATTATAGAAAATAAGACAGACCGTGAGATAAAATGTCGATTTTTGAAGCGAACACTTCTTAACAATTATTTTCACATAATAATAATTATTTTATTTATATATATATATATATATATATATATATATATATATATATATATATATATATATATATATATATATATATAGTTTTCACTTCTATCGACAGGCGCCAGAGACTGCCCCGCATGCTTTTATTTTTCGACGCTTAATATGTATAACTGTGTTGGGGCCACGCAACAGTGTTCGCTGTTGCTAGAATGGGCAGATCTATCAGGGTAAGTACCACGGCCTTCATCGAAGGCCGGCATGAAGTAGAAGTGTTACACTTCTGAGTTTCGTCTGGTGAGTGAGGTAGCCGGCGCCCACTTTATGGAAAGATGGCAACACGTCTGCGACTCCTTCGGGTGTTGCAAACGTCAACGGGCGGTGGTTATTATTTAATCAGGCGAACCTCCAGCTTGTTTGCCACCTTCTCACATAAAAAAATTGCGGCTCACCACCGCCATTTTGAAGTCGCCTTAGGCAACGACAGCCATCGCAGCTGCCTAGTTTCGTCAACTTATTCATTAAGCAGTTTATAGCATAAGTACCTTTTCCAGTTTCTATGGCGTTGACCAACTGAGTCAAAACGGAAAAATCAAAATGTTAAAATAGCTATTAACTTTTTAATTCGAGCTTTTATGTTAAGCTTGTTATCCCAGTTATATTATCATGTTTATTTATTTATCTTTACTAAAGATCAACTAGGCATTGACTACTTTTACCTAGTGTATATGATAGGAAACGACCACGCGCTACGCTACGCCTAGTTCGTTAACAAACACGATCAATGCCAAAAATGCGAATTTCATTACTTAATGTTATAAGAACTTTTAAACTTAATTTAAAGAAAATCGTTAAGATTTAAGTTGAGCTTAATAATCATATATCGAAATTTGATGAATTTTTGTATTTAAAAAAACCTATCTGCTACGAAACACCCGAAAATCTGGGCAAAGTGTTTCTCGTGCGTTAGTTAATCGTTGAACATCCTGACGCTGGTAGTAACGATGAGCGCAATTAAAGACTCGACTATCACAACTGGAGTCGCTACTCACTAGCCGGGGCCCATGTCAACTCAAAAGAGAGAGGTGGCTAGGCAATTGGAGACCGGGGGAGGCGGCGCACCGCAATATGGAGTCGCATTGTCGTGGTGGCCGGCCGTGGTATCGGCCGCGCGTAGGCTCACGCGCAACTTGTAACCCCGCGAGCGCGCCCGCCGCCTCCGAACGATAATCGCAGCCGCAGTGACGATATTGACACCGAGTGCTCGAAACATAGGTAACGAAGAGAACCCGGAACAACCGCTAGGAGTTTTCGCGAACGTGAAATCGCCGGCCAGTGTGGACGCGCTCGGGCGCGAACAAAAAACGGACCGTGTGTCGCCGCCCGTACACTCGAGGCGGCCTGTATTTTTCTCGTGTCACTTAAAAATGGCACGTTCGAGCCGCGTTGCGTTTTATTGCGCGCGTCCTGCACCGGGCGGGCCATTATTTTAATAACAGCCTCGGTACGAAAGGCGATACCGATCGCGCTTGAGGCTATCACGATTCACGGCGTATGGTAGAAATTCGATATCTGTTCGTTTGTGGGTCATATCGCTGCTTCGTATATAGAGGTTCGTTGTTCTGGATAGTAATTCGTTACGAGTTTTACCGCTCGTTGACATAAGTGAATGGACCCATAATTCTGTCTATATCGATGTTGATTTATCCAGATAACTTATTAATTATCTCTAGTGGATATGTTTACATATTTCATTCCGAATGTTGGTTTTATATTGTTTTTTCATTGCGTGTACTCATAAGTATGTTTCGTGGATGCAATTTGGTTACGTTTATTTTGTTTGTAATAGGTATGCTCAAAACTATCTTAATTACAGTTTTAAGCTGACGTTTAATTTTATTATGAATAACAAGTATTATAATAAAATATATATATGTCGTATCGACTTATAACTGGTTATATATGTCTAATAAAACAACATTTAGGCAGTCATTGAACTTGAGGTAAACGGTGCATAATTATGAGAATCACATCTAAATTTACATTCCAATCGAGAAAATATATTTATTTATGTGACGTTTTCTGTTAAGTCCGATTTTAGTTTTAACTTTTCCACTCTTTTTATAACGTATATTATTACTTAACTTTAAATAAGTATCACTCCTACCCATAACTTCATCTTTTCCCACAAAGATTTTATCAAGCGTCGCTAAAAGGTAAAAAAGAATCATAATGATAATTCGATTGCTATCACTAAACCTGAGTGTACATGTTTTTCTTTTTTACATTGAACTAGCTCCGCTCTATGTTCTTTAATATAAATGATACGGCTGAACGTCTAAAGATTACTTGCATCGTCATGTCCCGCGAAGGCCCTTATCTTCCACGCATGTCGACATGGACATGAAGGCGCGTGAGATAACAAAGGATCAAACCTCTTCGCGCAGTAAGCACTCGACATGTGACTGGAATGTTTTGTTTGGTTTATTTAGTTTAAGGAAACAGATTACTTTAATGGGCGTCGATATTGTCTCGTTTCTGTTTATATAATGTATTGCTTTATGAAATCGGTGTACTCAATGATTTTTTTTATCGTAAGTACTAGATTTGAACACTGATCATCTATTATTTTTACTTTGAATGGATGTTGTACTTTTTTGAAGTTTTCATTCACTTTTATGTCGAAATTAAAAAGCGACAGGCGATTGATAAAAGATCTTCTCCATTTTGGTCATGTTAATTTTGATTAAGTTACCGGTATCTCTTTTGAAGGTAACATTCATTTAAACATTCACATTATCGCGTGATATTGTAATATCGTTACCGCTTTTGTGACGGTCAAAAATTATAATACGACGTGTTTATAATAAGTGACATGCATCAAGTACATCGTGTCCTGAGTGTAACAAAGCCGTCACGTCAAGGTTTTTGCCGTTATCAAAACCTTTACAACTTCATACTTGTAGTTCAAGTATAAGCATTTAATATCGTCGAGATCACTTACAACCCTGTGCGAGGACAAGGCATCCGGTTGCGTTCTTGACGGAATTTATTTCGCCCGCAAATAGTAACTGCTTAGCCTTTTTATTTACCCCATAAAAATCTTAAAAGTTAATTTTACAAGATTTTTAATTTAAATAATATTTAAATTTAAAATTATTTGCTCTCAAGATATTGGATATTTGTTTAAAAAATAATTTCCTGTATTTACGACGGTCAGACATTTCATGCGTACGAATCTCGTGATGTTGTATGGTGTAAAGAATTTAAAACGTCGCGAATTAAAATAAAAATAAAAACGCGATAATAAACGCATAAAAATATTTGCAATAACAATTGATTTATTTATTTGCATTTAAATTATTGTCTCAAGTCTGGGTGTACTTTGCGATTTTTCATTCCCGTCGTTTTTGAAACATGACTCAAACAATTTTTTGACATTGTATATGTACTATACTCTGTGTATATACTACACTCTGCTATTTATACAAATAATGTGAGTTTTATCTGGCAGCCATCTGGTATACTCGATATATTTTATATGAAAGGCAAAATTGAAAGACCAATAATACTTTACTTTTTAAAAATTATCATTTTCCTCACTTCGTACTTGTGTTTTCCCAAAATTACTCAGGAATTAATTGACTGTAATTAAAATATATGAAAAGAATCACACAAAAATTATTTATTAAATATTCAAATTAGTAAAATTTATTGTCTGAGATTTTGACTCGATATATGCATATTCAAAATATGTTTACGCACGCCAAAGTTTTTACATTGTAACAATCAAAATCAACTTAATCAAATATTTGAAGAACATCGCACCTGTGGAATACACAGGCTTCCGAACATCAATATTGACTTAGCACAATGGCGTAACATCAACCACACTAAATCTTGTATCTTGTATCTTGTATTAACTGATGTTTTTGCTTTCAGTCCCGAGACTATTAAAGCTTCATCGGACGCAGAACCGGTGGGCTAGCCAGAACCCACGGGTTTGGACCCTCCGCTATGGGTAGGGTCGCGCATGTGCTCATGCGTGCGTTTAACTACTATGGTGTGTCATCTAAGGGCCGTCGAGGTCGCCGGTTCGGACCGAGACCCCGACGGTTGTCGACTGTGCATTTAGCTAATAGGTGGCTGGGAGCGGTGAGAACCGCCCGGAACGCGGGTGTACCTTGTGTACGCGTTGTGTGGGTCTCGCCGTGCTCGGAGGCGAGGGCGAACTGGTGTGATTGTTGTTACACTAACTGTGGGTGTAGAGATATCCGGCGGGACCCCCGGCGGTGGGTCCATCGTATCTAAGTCCTCTTCGTCGACCGGGTCGATGAGAACGTTTCGCGGGCGACGTTTGTTTACGTTCGCGTTGTTTGTGTCCGGTTGGTAGTTTGCTGCGCTTACCACCAGAGGGTTGGGATGATGCTGGGCTCTATCGAAGAACCGTTTTGTTAATCTTTAAAATGTGCGCGAATCGTCGGGAGTCTGCAATCGCTGTGCAGGTCGACGTTGCGCTGATACCATTGCACACCGGTTGCGCGGCGGATAAACTTACTTTGAACTACTTGCAATTTGTTAATGCGCGTAGGATTTATATGTGCGAAGATCATGCAAGCGTAGGACATGATTGGCCTTACGCAAGCTTTATATAACAGTAGTTTGTGCCTTAAGGGCATTTTACTTTGCTTATTCGTTAAATTGTGTAGCCGGCCGGAGACGACCGCGGCTAATTTCGGACTTGATTGATGTGCGTAGTGAAAGTCATACGCTTGTCGAAAGTGACTCCTAAATATTTGACCGTTTTCTCCCAGGGGAGAGTTTGGCCATATAGTGATATTTGCCCCAACTTTCTGTACTGGCGAGGACCTTTGTAACGGTGTGGCGGATGGGGGTTGGGGGTGCTACGAGTAAAGTGAATCGCCACACTTTTTTCTGGATTAATATCGATTCTCCATTTACGGAACCAATCGCCGAGGCGGTCGGCGGCGCTTTGGAGTCGAGTTGTTAATTGACTGAGGTTGCGATCTGAGTAAAACGGCGCCGTGTCATCCGCGAAAAGCGCGAGATTGACGTGGGGGTCTCTAGGTATGTCGCTCGTGTAGAGCGTAAATAGCAAGGGTGAGAGGCAGGAGCCTTGTGGTACGCCGGCCGTGAGTCGGCGGCTTGTGGAGAGGGTGCCCTCGACTCGATATCGAAAAGAGCGGTTCAACAAGAAGGCCCGGATGGTGTGTACGAGCCTATCTGGCACTTTGAGTGTGTACAGCTTGTAAAGCAAGCCGTTGTGCCAGACTTTGTCGAATGCTTTTGCGACATCGAAGAAGAGAGCCCCTGTACTGATGTGTTTGGGGTGGTTGAGGCCTTTTAGGATGTGCTCCGTTAGGCGGTATAACTGATCGGGACAAGAGTGTCTAGCTCGAAAGCCGAATTGTTCCGTCGGCAGAAGGCCGTTGGAAAATACATGCTCTTTGAGCCTGTTTAACAATAGCCGCTCGTAGAGCTTCCCCAGACAACTGAGGAGGCTGATGGGACGATAGCTGGAGGGCTTATTGGCTGGTTTATTCGGCTTGCGAATGCCGATAACCGTGGCTTGCTTCCAGTCGTATGGAAAGGAGCAACTGGAGAGAAGGGTATTGAAAATTGTCGCCAGTAAACAGATAAGCGGCCCAGGGAGAGCTTTGAGAATCTTATTACTTATATTATTCAGGCCCGGGGCGGATTTTGGTTTTAAATTTTTAATAATATCTTGGACCTCTTCGGGGGTCACTGAATTTAAAGGTTCGCCTTCCGGTGGAAGCGCAGCCCTAGTCTCGATTACGCGGTCCACCTCCGTTAGGTGGACTGTATCGGTGTGTTCGCGCAATGGCGTACATTGCTGCTCTAGGTTGTCCGCAAGGCATTCGGCTTTATCGGAGTCATCTAGGGCTACTGAAGCGCTATTAGATCTAACTAACGGCGGTAGAGATTCGCGGGGGTCTGCTTTCAGACTGCGGGCCAACCGCCAGTAGGCGGTGTGCGATGGCTCGATGTCCTCTAGGAGAGTGTCCCACGTTGTGTGTCGGTGTTCCGATACACGATCTTTGACTTCTAGCTGAAGGCGTCGAAGTAGGGTTCGGTTCGATTCCGATCGGTATCGGTCGAAGGCGCGTTTGGCTGCATTTTTCTGTCTAATTAGCAGTCGCAGGTCGGGCGGAAAGTTAAACCGTCGGTCGCCCGACAGTTTCACTGTCCGTTCCGAGTCTGCGACTGCGGAAGTAATAGTTTCGCGGAGACTCGCTATCGCTCGATTTGCGTCATCGAACGTAGCTATCGTCTCGGGTAAGTCTACTAAGTCCTGGGGGTCCAAGGCCTTGAGTTTGACCTCAAGACGATGCCAGTCCACTACGGATTTGTTCGGAGGGATCCACACTAAATGCATTACTTGACGGTGACATCACAGGCAACTGAATCAAGTCGATATTTGCTTTTAAATTGACATTAAATTCGTGTACGGTATTACTAAAATATTTTCTATTTAGTTGATAAGTGAACGATTTAAGTCAAATTATATTTCAATTGTAATATACCTTTAAAGAATAACTATATCAAAACAAAATTATAACACGTTTAATTATGATAATAATATAATGTCTATTTAGTTACGTCAATTATATTTACGTCGAAATCTATCAAGTTTAACTTTTTGTGGTTAGATTAAAATATATGGGAAAAATTGGTTATTTTTACAGCATTACTTCGACTGTACTGGAAAAATTTATTTTATTTTTACGTGGAGACTATTAAAAGTTTTGTTAATTATAATAATTAAGCGATTTCGCTCCCAACTTATCCACAAAGTCCCTGCTGGTACCGGTTAGGAGATACGTATGTAAATTAAGTAAGTTGTTATAGTTTGTAAAGTAGTTCCCTACCGCGCGTGTTGATTGAACGTGACTCAGTTCACCGTGGGCGCCTCATTCGGTATGCGCGAACGCAATGCCTAGGAAATGCATTTTGTGTAAGCACACTGAAACGCGACTATTGGACGTCGCGTGCACGCTTTTAACAACGGGTGATGATGGCGGCGTCGATTGTCCACCTTTTTACGGGGAAACGCACTGTTTACCAGTTTTCTGCCTACTTTGGTTGTATAATTTATTTTGTTAGTGTTTTACATTCGTTGTATCCGTGAGTTTATTATGATTTTTTACAAAATTATTTGAATGTATTATTCTTAAACTTGAACTATGTATTCCACACGGACTAAACAAAACAATATAATAGACAAATAACTATTTATCTAGTCCTTAGAAGTCAAGTACAATTAATTTACGTTATTAACATAAACTTAAGGGTCCTCTCTCGTATCAATTATCGTTGATATAGCAACTTTTCCAGTGATTGTTATATAGTTATCTATCTTATCGATTACATCATCCATATAAATGGTTCAAGTATTTACCGTGTGTTTTGGAAACAACACAAACGCTGTGTAATCTAAACAAATCGAAGTCACGATATAAGTATTTCGCTTGTGTTACCATTCGAGCCACGTACAATCAACCACAGTATTTTTAGACTGTGGTTCACTTTGTGACATGGTGATCAAAAGATCAACTTGGGTAACATGAGATAATTATCATATATCACTTCGACTGTGGTCTACTAGGATGCACTCGTTGTATGAGGAGCATTGGGTGGAAGTACTGACTCGTCCATCGGCAGTCACGTATCGCCTGTCATATCACTTTCCGTTAACGGTAAAATTCACTGTGCGCCGTGACTATGAAGTAATTAAAACGGTCCGCGGCGCCGCGCTATGATTTTTTTTCATCGTAACCGCGAAACCCGTGGAAAAGAGTCGTATTGCGAATTGACGGCTCAATCGAAATGTGCCTTTAAGTTCGTTGACCCCGCGATCTGTTGCTACGTTGATGCACCATATTTCGCGAGGCGTGGTGTTACTATGATTTGGTTTATGGTTCAAGGGGTAACGGGGATCTGAGGTCTCTGGTTCAAATCATCAAGCATTGATTTCATGATATATAAGAAACTCGTTAACAGATGCTTCGCAATTACAAACAAATAAATTGCATTCTTTCTTATCTGTGCATATCTTTTAAACATTAAATATGTGCGTAACAGAGCATATTTTGAACATAATACATGATCAAAGCTTGACCTGACAGCGGAAAGTGGGTCCGGCCGGGTTGATTCATCCCAACCTCCGACCACCGAATTGGAGCCGTAAGCTGGTTGATTTCTTTATTACCTTTAATTACAACAGTTAGTTACACGTGGTGGTATTTTGATGCAAGACGGGTCAGTTTCATTCGTGAAAGTATTTAATTCTCTTTACTGCATATAAAGACCATTTTGGCTTTACAGAATCTCTTTGTTATTAATTGCTAAGTTTTCTTCTATGAAGTGATTGATGAGTTGTTTCATTACCACTTCGATTGTTGTATATTACTTGTTTTCAATTGGCTTAAAGTAATATAAGATATTACAGCAGAGACTATAAAGCGATCAGGGCCAAAGTTGACGTCGCTTCATATATAAATTTAATGAAAAACGAGACAGTAACAAATTCCAATTCTATCTAGGATTTATTTGAGGCTGATGACACTAAATCAACGGTTAAACAGGTTATGACGCGAGCAATTTTATTGTTTCACGAACCAGATCGAAATGTAACAACAACCGTTAAGTGTGAATGTGCCGATAGCGGAAATTGCTGCTAGTTTTATATAGGTCTCTGTACACCGGCATCGCTTCAAAGCCGCCTTTCATACAAAATTTGTGGTAGAACTTTACTTATGAATGACTACGTTGTAACTCGTCTGTTGATACAATATAATGCTGTACTACTTTATTAAGTACAATATACGTCAATAACGTATTACTTTCTGTGCTACGTATTACTTTCTGTGCTACGCATTTCTTCAGGTGATAAAGTTTATGAGTTGTTTAGTGTCTTAATAAAAGAATCCTATGAGGCATGAAAGGCATGAGGTTTGAAGTTTAGTTTTCAAACCTCATGCCTGCAGTTTATTCCAGCTATGTTACCTATCGGACATTGGTTCTGGTTTTAAGGCAAGTTTAAACGCCATCGATATTGAACAAAGGGAGTTTTTTTTTTGTGTATTAGGGAGTGTTTTGCAAAACCTAGTTCACGTGAGACCACGCTTATCAAACATTGTGTTAGCTCATATATTTCCAGAATCATTAAACTTTTCTGTAGATGCTGCTGAAAAACGAAGCCAGACACAAAATATCTTATTTGAACATGTTACCGTTTTGTTTACTAGTAGGTTTGCTAGGTTTAATTTTACGCAATTAAAAAAAACCAAATGTTTAGTTTTAAAAAACAACATATATAGTCTTCGAACTGACGTGAAGGCGTGTCTACTTCAATGTAAGTCTACATTTTATTTCTTAGCCATATAAAGCAGAAATTATTGATCCGAACCTAATGAATAAAACTAGCTCATCTATTAAAAACTTAAGCTATGACTAAAATATGATCAAAATGTTAGAGTAAAAAGTGCATATTACGTGATGCGGGCAATTATAGGAAAGGCGTCACAGTCGAAATCGGTCAGAGGGCATTCATCCACAGCCTAACGCTATTCTTAGCCAACCGGATTGCAGTCCCGTATATAACCGGGGTTTGTTTCTCAATCGGGCGATAGTGTGACCGGCCAACTTCAATTCGCGTTGATATTATTGGTCAAAGGCAAATTGCGTCGTTCCTTCAGCGCGCGTGGGCACTTTCTAGTTATTGGGTCAAAGCGGTGCAGAGCGTTCGGTGCGGGGATTCTACGATGTTCTCGTGTGCCCGTTTGCTTCTGTGTGCGTCGGCGTGTTCTATACGAACGCTAGCGTGCTACCACTTATCAGCTCGGTACTACGAGCACGAACAATTTCCGCGCTTCGACGAGGCGAGGACAAGTGAAATTGATTTGTCGTAAGAAAGTTAAATTATGAGAGGCGCATTGATGTAAAGATATATTTATAGCGAACATTTTCTTGGTTGTTCGTTTTAAATACAGAATAGGTATATACCTACATTATAACAATCGGCGCTATACAAAAAATACGTATCGCCAATGGAAATCTCGGTTTAAATAAAAAAGGATAGTACGTAAAAAATATAAAAACATTAAATGCACTTAAAGTTAGTACGGCGGTAGTAAACATTTATTATTCTTAATCGTATGCTTCCTTACGAGGCATAGGTAAAGCTTCACTCGAAAATAATCTGAGGGGCAATTATCAAAGTAATCTACACCCGACTACAGGAATTGTCGTGCTAATTTAAATAAACGTAAGGTTTTAAATGCAATCTAAAGATATATTATTGCTCCTTGGCTGTGTAATTGAGTCGTCAAAAATAAACACCGAGAGTCAGGCTCGATTCTGTGTTTTATTTCGTTATATAAATTCTTGGAATTTAACGTCCGATATCACGATAGCAGTTATGAAAGGTCTTATACCATACGTCTACTTGTAAAGACTACCGTCCATTGAAATTGTTTATTTGGACATTCTGTTTGGACAGGCGATTTTGTGAAGCTATACTTTTGTTTTATTCTGCCTCGGGTTGTATTTATTCGACCAATAAAATTACACGGAAGGCCTGAAGTCATCGACCTTTGTTTGTTGGTAGCAGCTAAACGCCTACAACAAAACAGTGAATCGGCGTTCAGTATTGTGATTTTGTGTTGTTTAGTGTTTTATTGTTTTACGGTTAATTACAAAAAGTGTTCACGCAATTAAACAACAGCTTTTGATTCAATCACTTAATAAATTGCAGATTAGTAAAGTGACATCTCTTATTTTGACTTGGTAAATAGAATTGTAAAGTAACACCGTTATCTCAATCGCATTTATTTTTCGCCGTTCCCAAATCGGTTCACTGAACACAATAGGTAGGCGACAGATAAGCAGCCCGATGAAATCAGGAGGCAGATTAACGTTATAGTTATCGACATAGACAGTGTTAATGACCTCACAAGGCCAAAGGCCTCGGATAACTATACGGCCATGGCTTTAAGAATTTCAATTCTTTCCGCAACAGAAAAAATAATCTATATAAAGTATCTTTATGACAATCAAACGAGCGCGTGTTTATATTATGGAGCAGTGAGATAAGTCCAGCATTTTATTCGGTTCAGGCCTATCGAGACATGCGCGAACTGCGCTCGAAAATGTTGAAGCACTCCACGCTGTGCTAAGTGCGTAACTATGTGTAACAACGATAAAATGGGCAGCGGCAAGTTCGGTTTCAACGGGAAAAAGGACAAAGTGACCGTTACGGATGATGCCAAGACTGAGTTCAGTGTTAAAGAGAAGTGCCGAAAAATACAGAAGAAACTCAAGAAGACTGACAGCCAGAAGACTGATGTGAAGGAGAAGGCGATATGGTGGAATCAGTGCAGCAGCCGTGAGTAATTGGTCTTTTATATTGGGAAATGTGCGTCCTCTCAGGTGTTTTTACATGTTTATCGACATCCAAAACAGAAAGTTTTCAACGCTTTCCTCTGTTACCTATTTCTGCTGAGCGGTTAACTCGACATCCCATTTGAAATAACCATAAACACTTTTCACAATTTCAAAGCGATAGCTACATCAAACATAAGCCCGATGGACATGTCATCGGGCTTATGTTTAATATAAACCACTACTTTCAAAAACTATCTTCATTTCGTAACACTGATATGTACCGATTTTATTTATTTGATGTGATGTATTTACATTTTTCTCTTTCGTAAAAATTCTATTAAAATACCACCACTACTTGTTACCGTAACCGAAAGCAGTCATCGCCGCTTAGACTAACCGTTTCGGCACTCGTTAGGGCCGTTAGCCCTCGAAGGGCCGGTAGGCCGGTTTACACTCATTGAATGCACAATGAGGGGAAATTGGAACACCAAGGTCCAGCTTTTGAAATCGCTCCGTGCCTACTGCCTTACCAAGAACGCAACGAGGCCGTTGTCGCGACCTTAAACGGCGCCTTCGGAGTATTTTGCCGAAGTGAGCCCTTCTAATGATCCGAGTACAGATTTCGACATTGACTTTTGCGTGTTGCCTAGCCCTGCCCTTATTACGGCTGATTCGGCACCATTCGCGGTGAGCTTAAATCGTTTCGCAAGCGAAATGAGCAGCAGCGTGTTAGTTACGTTCTCATTATAAATGAAATATGTCATGGCAGAAATATATTATATATAATTGGTTAGACATGAAACATAAAGATAGGCATGTCGAACGCTAATACATAAAATAGTAAACGGTGATAAGCTTATCTCGATCAGAAGCTACTTTTGTGGTTATTGACTCTCTTTCTTCAGAAAGTAGAATGAACGCTAGCGCTTTACAAAGCGCTTTTTGCGACATTGATATCTAGATAAGCATTTTAAAATCACCAGAAAGTAATAAAATGACAGAATATTTATCTATATCTAAGAATCTTCAAACATTAAACAATCGCAGTAATTATAAGTATGAACACGGCAAAAGTATGTCAGTGGAAAGCGCTAGAGATTCCCGTGAAATCGCTGCGGCAACTCGCTCAATGTCCACTTTCTAAACTGGCTAGACTGCGTCGTCGTTTTATAGTTCAGGAAACCACCAGTTGGTCGGCCGCATGAAAGTCGCCACGTTGGCATTTCCCCGTGTGAAAATGTGTAATGTTCAAAGTTCGCAGTGCGTTGTTATGTTGGCGTTGCTTAAATGTGACGCAACTCACTATTTTGCCATAGTGTAAAATTCTCTTAGTAGAAACTGAAAACTGCCAGAGGCAATTTAATGTATCGTTTGAAAAGACCTTCGCCACACTCTGTATGATAGTTATGCGTTTTGAAACACGAACAGTGCCATTGAATGGGAATTAAGCATATTCAACGCATTATCTTTTATGAAAGCTCAATCTTTGTTGTGGATTAAGGCCCATTTACACGGTGCAAGTTTCTTGCCTGTTATATACAATTAAATTGAAGCAATAAATGAGTTGCATTGTCTAAACAGCACATAACATTCTTGACTGTTGAACAAGACTTGCATCAAGTTTTGTTTCAAAACTTTCCTTGGTGTAAACAGCACACACAATAATTTCGTAAGCAATTCTTGTATTCAATTGCATTCTCTCTTCCTTTGCAAAAATTAGTGCAATGAGTGAGGGTATTTAATCGTTGCTGTTCTTTTGAGGATAGAAATATTGAGAAAAGGTCGTAAAAAAAGTTGGATAAAAATATGAATAATAATATATGGATCATAATAAATAAATCTCAATGAAATATATTTAATCGGCATAATCTAACTTGAACACTTATTATTGAGCCATTTCTTTTAAAAAAACAGGCCTTTGTAAAACGTTCAACACTTGCATGAAAAATTTGTCAACGCAAATACGTGCAATACTTGAAGCAACACGCCAATAAATTGTACACGCACATACAAGCATGTGTTTAGACAAGTCAAAACTTGAAAGCAATAATCGCCTAAACATAATTGCATTGGTGTAAACAAAAGACATTTGCAATTATTTCTTGTCAAGACTTGCATTCAATAATCGCATTCAATTTTATTTACTATATCTGCGTGTAAACTGTTGCTTACAATTCTTGATGGTCAATTATTGCGTGCAACTTATTGCATTCAATTATTGCTCTTGTATGTACAAGAAAATGGCATTGTGTAAATGGGCCCTTAGACAACAAGCGAGAATTCATTACCGTGACATATTTTTAATTAAACTTTGAGTTTCAATTTATTTACGCTGGCCATTCAAACAAGGAAGTCGTTAACGAGTTAGGCTTATCATCAGATTCAAAATCTACTTATCTAAATGTTACATTTAATCGCTTGCTACTTACTTTTGCAAATACTTCCGCGAAATAAGTTTCGCCTGACAAATAGACGATAATTCATTGCTGTAGGCAATTATGCCTATAGCGAGAAAATAAATGTTGACTTAAGGTTCAGTTCTATTATAAAGACATACGGTTAAAAGAGGCGATAAGTTGTTTTCTTTTTGTAAGATACCTTATGTATTTAATTTATTTTTAAAACTTAAGTTATAAATTTAACCCATTTTATTTCCTTTCGTCGTTAATTGAACCAGGAATTAAATTATTACCGTAAACTCTTAACTTAACGTTTTACTTAATCTTCATTAGCAGTTTTACGATTGACAACAAAGGTCGATATCGGGTAGCTATTATTGGAGGCATCGGACTTTTAGTAATTTTTATTGGAAGCTGTCATTACAACGTCGCCCTATAAGGCATCGCCGACTTCTCCCGATAATATGTCGATACCGAGTCTTTTAATACACTATTTATTGGGATTATGATCAGATAATATTCATTACTAAGCTGTTTATACATACCGATCATAACAGACTGAGCTTGGATGTAGCCGTATACGTCTATATTTCACGACATTCAGGAAAATTTTCGCGATTATGACATCGATTTGTTGGACAATATCTTAGGTTATCTTTTAAGACCGCCAAAACGGACGAGGATAGCATTTAGCTTAAATTAAATAAACTTGTTAAATTTGTTGCTTGAGATTAACATGATAGTTAATAAATATTTTATAAAAAATACTTTTTGTTAATGACAACATATTCTACTTATATACATATCTGTATACTTCTTTGACATACACGATGGCAACTGCAAGATTGACAGCACATAATGACATCGTGTAAGATTCGACCTCAATAGCAAGAGGCGGAAGCTTTCCCTTAATACGCATAAAAAGTTGAGTTTATTTGAAATTTCTATAAATTAAACCCACATTATATATTTAATGACTTTATTTTCATCATTTTTATGGTCTCACGCCACCAGCATTCTCCCGATGTTACAAGATCACATGAAGCGTCTTCGCCTTCCGATTTTATTGCAGCCGCTTATTAGTCGATTTTAATCACGCTGTGGTAAACGCACGGACGAGCTCCAGTTACACGAATGAGCCGACACGGAGAGGGAAGTACGGGGAAGACGGTAAAAATGTTTGGTAATTTACAAGAGTTCATGAAATTGTAATTTTCAAATTGTTACCATAAGGAAGCGAGATTGATTTCTGGTCTGGACGGAATTAGGACGAGGTTAAATTCTTCTATGACAGTGCAGCCTCCAATTACGGCGGGCTTCCTTAAAATTTGGTAGATTTAATTACCTTTTTTTTTAATCTGAGTTTCCGATAAAAATTCTGTTATTAATAATTTGCTTATCGATATTATTAATAAAAGAGTAAGGTTATGCTGTTTATTGCACAATAGCATAACCTTACTCGTTTTCCGTAAATTTTATTCTTCTTTCTCCTGCCCTTATTCCGCCTAGTTGATTTTGGCTTTTTTATTAACTCTGGCTGCCTGCCCGACGTCAAAACTCTTTGGGAATAAACTCCCAGATACGGAACAATTATATGACGGTCTCACAAATACTTATATAGCGCAGGAATCGAACCCAGAACCCCCGGTACCGAAGTCAATATTAATATAACAAAATTACAATCATCATCAGGTAATAATTTTATCTTTGTGTTTAGTAATTCTTTTTTTTGTATGAAATCAGAGATCCTTTACACGCAAAATCTATTTTTGCAGTGTTATAAAATCTGCCTTCAAAGTCTTAAAATCGTAAACTATCAGGGTTTTCGATACACTAATAGCACTAATATTTTCTTTTACAATTTCAATCTACTTTTAACGTAACATTAAAAAATATAGTCACTTAGCAATAATGATCCAGTATATAAAATACTTAGTAATATTAATAATAATATGTTCTTGTAAAGTTTTCAACCCGGTGTGTAATCATTGTTTTTAATGAAACGTATTATTATATGATTTTTCATAAACTTTGCCAGAATTGGCATGTTGTAATGATTTATTTAGAATCGTTAACAAAGTGTATAGAACCCACGACTCGTGACGCCACAGCAAACATTGGCCACTGTGCCACGGAATCATCACATATGCCGCCTTCTGTTCGAGTGTAAGCAATGAAGGTGATTTTGTTCCAGTAAGTGAGATCGACCAGTACTTATGGATGGTTGGCGGCTCGGCCGGCGCCTTGGCGCTGACCGGGGTCGCAGCAGCCTCCGCCTTCTACCTCAGCACGAGACCGAAGCCAGAGAAACCGCTCGTGACTCTCCACGAACAGAGCTTGTTGGAACCAGTAAGCATTTTTTAATTTTATGTCATCAGTAGTGTCCGTAATTACTAAATAAACTATCTTACCTTTTCTATAAACTAATCATTCAAAAAATGAAGAAGAATTAAAAAGTACGATTAGTTTTGCGGTTTCAGAGATATATTTTATACCTTATATTTATTAATAAACCATTAGGAGAAATTGCGTTTACATTTTTTGTTTTTCTTACACGTGTTTACATTTTTTTTTACAAATCAAACGGATAAATGTGAATAAAAACTAACATTTATCACGTTGTAATAGCAGCCACTTTATTTTCTCTGTCACATTTTTATTTTTATCCAATTCGAAAGATATCGAAATGAATGAAAATAATAAAAGAAATGGCGGTATAATAGCATTGTAACAACATTAGTCAGTTATTGGCTAATCCATGAACTTATCTTATATCTACTTCGCGTTTTTTTACCAAACAATCAGTAACTGACCGATAAGAGTTTTCAATACACGATTTTAAGATCAATTGCTCCATTTTTTTTACAAAACTACGTGTTAATCGAGACGTTTGTTTCATTACAGCCAGAGTCATTCGGTATATAGGTGACATTCACATTCTAAGGTCAATGATCGTTCCCAATTTACAGCATGTGATGCAATAAATGCTTTCGTGCATTTCGCATCCACTACATATTAAAGGTTATTTTGAATTTGAATAGCGGTTAAAGGGAACTCCTCTATACCGTGGTATCAAAGTTCAAGTTGTCCTAATACAAACCGCCGCCGCTAGAGTTGGCAGAGCGCATCTTCGAGCGGTATTTTTAACTCATTGTACGAGGAGCAGCCCTGCTTGCTGCTCCCACGTCAGTGCCCAGAAGTTTATAGCGAAAGTGGCGAGCCTCTGAGTTGCCTGAGTGCTCGGCGCGGACGGAACTTGGGAGTCTCAAGTGATCGATAGACTGTGTAATTTCGATAGTAGCGTCATCGCAGAACAGCGGTCACGAGTGAAATGGAAGCGACGATTGCGCAATGTGCTATAGCTTTTTAGGAGCGATTGGGATTTGACAGTGCTTTTAGTGAAGTGACAGTTCAATCGTGACAATGTCGTGCTGCGATTGTTGCACAGGAGTGGCGCCCATCCGGCCCCCGATAAATCTCAACGAGCAGTCGGATGTGATTAAAGTAAGGAGGTTTATCGACAAAAGAGTTTTGTTGTAAACTCGACAAAATAAAAAAAAAGAAAACGCTAATACGCGAGAGAATGAGTTTAATTAGAGAACCTCATTGTATCTATCACGTTTACGGTCGTTGCAAACAATTTCAAACGGTTCCCGCGGTATTTTCAGAGAGTTTGAGGTCAAAACGTAGTGCGCGGTTACTCATAATGCGTATTTTGGCAAAGCTCCGTTACATTTAGAATCGGATCAACGAAAGGCCTGGTGTCGGTTACGTATATCTACGACCGATTCGATGCAAAAATAACATCTTCTAGGTGGTTCTTTTATCCGCCAAACCACACATAATTTAGTGCATCATTATTTGTTTCAAACGCTAATAAGATCTTAAAAATTCTTGTGACTTTTACGACAATCGTTTCGAAGATTGTCTTGTTGCAAATGTCGCGTGTTACAAGAATGTTAGTTTAAATTTTATATTTCAGTCGAAATACCTATAATATACTTTAAAATACACCTTGTCTCTATATACAGGTGCAAACCAATAGGTTTTCACAATTTTATTATATTTTATGAACAAATATAATAACAAGGAGTTAATAAAATTTAAATCACAACAATTGGTATATTGGAAATAATTAGTATTGCGTTCGACTTTTCTGGAATAATTTTATTATTAGTCACATAGTATCATCACACTAATATCAGATATATTCAGTTATATTTCGTCTAGTTTGAATCATAAAATTCAATATAAGTAATTATATAAAGTAATAATCCTTTATTTCCAAATTATCTTTCATAATATTGGAGGAGTGTAAATAAATAGGAGTGTTAGTAAAAACTTAAAAGTAAACATGGAGTATTTTCATAAACAACGTACATTATATCTTACTTTTGATTTGTTTCAAAAATAAAATAACACATATAGATAACACAAACATTACGTTTTATCAATTCGGTTTTGGAACCTGTATCTTGTTTGTTCGTCTTTTTTATTCTTATTTGTGTTTATCGGTTTCGAGTAACAGTGCCAATTAAGCGATATAGGAGTGTGTTTCAGATCCACATTATACCCTACGTAGTTGTCACCTCACACTAACAAGGATGCCATACATCATCAAAGCTACGGCCCTGTTTGTTTGTTCATGTATACATGCTGTGACCTCCATGCGTCACTCATTATTCAAACATGTTTTCGAATTCGATCACATTATACCGTGCTAAAACGTGAAAATTATGCATCTCCTACTAAACGCGTCAAATACATTCAGTTTGCTTACATTCAAAAACGATAGAGCTGCTCGTGTGTGCGAGCAAATAAATTTCGCTTGTTTTGCTTTAGAAGACGCTTTCGAATAATTTCAGTGCGCAGTAAATTTTATGAACATGAGCCGGTCAACTTTGAGGGGCACTAACGGGCGTGTAAATTACTCCGGTTGTAAAACCGGCGACGTAAGGGTACTTCACACGCGGTGTAAATCGCCGACGTCTTCAGCTCACTTAGACAGACGGAAAGCATGCGGCCTTAACTCTACTCAACTATATCGGAATATGTTGTGTGGACTCGACTCTCATCTAATCCCCACACCCACGTCGGCGTAGCAACGGCCGAGAATAATATTCGATTGACTCGAAAAGGGCGGCTTAAATGTCTATAATCGTGGACGTTTCCGAATTTTTTGGCAAACCGACCGGTCACGGGACTGACGGATTGATTAAAAAAGTTTAGCCGTTGGAACTACCACCGGATTTTTTTACAGCGACTTGTCAATTTCTCTGATTATAATGTATTATCCAGTCGTTATGTTGCAATACCCACGGACACGCAGACGGACAGAAAGATTCGATTACCTCATCAAATAGGTATGCATCAATGTGGAATTTTGATGTATGTCTAAACATTCACCGCACGGTTCGATATATGAATGTAATAACAAACATCAATTTCAGCATATCGTCAGATCACGCATGAATCCTATCTTAACATCGATACTGAATTTTCATCTGAAGTATTTACGACATTTGAAAATTATTTTAATTTGTACAAAGCAAATACGTACCCACAAGCGAAATTAATTCATTAAATAATTAAATTAAGAAAATAACCTTACCAATTTCTCGTCTGATTTAAATCTCAGGGAAATGAGATTCTAAACGATTAGGATTATTTAAACTTACGGCCTCATATCGATGAAACCTAATAACTTCCCTCTTTTATTAACTGGTGTAATTGCTTTCAATCCTTAGACTATTAAAGCGTCATCTATCGCATAACTCGTGGGCTTTCAGAGAGAGAGAGAGAGAAACAAAAAAAAAGTTGGTGCGTGCGTTATTTAATGGAGAAATGTCACCTTCGGGCCATCGAGGTGCGGTACGGTGCGATAATTCATCTAGAATTTATTTTGTACTATCTGCACCTTGTACAAGCGAGTATAATTTGTGTGGTCGAGGTCATTATGGCCTTGTATAACAAAAGTTTGTGTTTCCTTAAGGGCATTAGTTAAATTATACTGCCGGGCCGAAATGAACGCTGCTGTGTTTCTAATGTTTTTGACGTGAGTGTAGAACTTTCGTCGTGAGTCGAAAGTGACTCTGAGATATTTTACGGTATCCTTCCGACGACCGTACAATGTGATTGGCCCCAACTTCCTGGTTTTGACTTCCCTGGACAAATCCGCCCTGTCCTTTGTACAACAACAGAGTGAGCCTACTACAAACTGGTTAACCGAATGCACAACGTTACACACGAACGCACATAACACAACGATGAATTTACAACATACAAATCATTGCAATCTGTATTGGGATGGGTATAATCAACAGAATAGGGCTACGAAAACAGCTTTTGCAATTACACAAGTAGACAAGTTCGTTCAGGGCCTCAAGACCGATGTGCAGTGGAAGTATTATACTTTCTTCTGGTGAGTTAGGTAACCGGGACCCTTTTAAAGGTTTGCAAACATATCTGCAAACCCCCAAGTGTTTTAGATATCTATGGGAGGCGATTACTAATCAACATCAGGTGAACCGCCTTCTCGCTTTCATAACACGTGAACGGTACTTGGTTTATGGATAATACTCAAGATTATTATCTTAATTTTTCTCACCAAGCAATTACATAACACCATTTTAATGTCGATGTTTCCCCGATACATTTTCATCACGAGATTAAAGTAATTTGTGGGACATGAGCCCAAAAAGGTATTGTCTCGTGACATGCCCTGGGTCTTTGCCAAATGTATAACACAACTACTAATGAGGAACACCCTTCTGTCAATCATTCTTTTGTAACATGTTTATTGGATTTGAAATCTTTACTATTATTATTATAAGATGTGCTGGGCCGTTTTCGTTTCTTTATCGTCTTTGACGTGGTAATGGATCTACTTGATTAATAAATTTAATAATTTATACAGCAAGTTATGCAACATTTCATTAAGGTTAATACACCACCACGCATGTGATGATTCACACAAACGTAGCCGCGGGCAGAAACTATTTTTTATAAAATAAATATATTATATATATTACAAATTATTATAATTGTTTTGTAAAATTTACTAACGATAAGGGAATCTGCAAGGATTGCCGCACAAGACCCAGATTTAAATTTTCTTTGTATATAACAACTAGAGTATTCATAAGACCTAATAATTCAATTACCACTTGTAATGTGTTAATCTATAAAATGAAGCGTAAGCTTTCCTCGCATTTGATTATGCTGTGTTATAGTTGCTGATGTGATTGCATAGTTGCCGAGTGGCTATGCCAACATTCTAACTTTATATCACAGTTACCGATTATATGGCATATTGTTAGGTATAGAACATCTGTGTCGAAGTATGTTCGATAACAATGTGGTTATGTATTTATAGTACGGTCATAAGCTACAATTTGAGATGACAAAACCAAATAATTAAAAATAATTGTGATTTATAGGAGCAAAAATAGTAACTTACTATACTATTACTTAACATACGATATTTTAAAATAACGATATTTTAAAATTTTTAAAAACATATCGTTCTTGTTTTGTGAAGTCGATATACTATATTGTATAACGTCTAAGACATGATAAACAAACATATCTCGATATAAATATACGTACCTTTTATTTTTTTATCTTGTTTGCATGTGCATAACGTGAGCAAGTTATTATTATTTCTAGTTTTACTACACGCATACAAATGTAAATGTAGTTATTTCAGTTTCGCACTTCTAATATAACTTGAAGACCGAAATCACTCAACTGAAACACATGCGGTGCATATCTGTTCATTTTAGTATCCATGTTTTTTTTAAATATCGCAATAAAAACGTTGTTTTTATTCAGTCTCTGTGTGAACGTTAACTTTCAAGAACGCGCTATCCGGAAACATCAGTAGCCAACGTCCCTCCTACAATGTCACGTATTTCAGAAATACCTTATTTTTAGACGCCAAGAAAATCATCTTACTCCGAATTGACCTTCTTAAGATTGATGACCTAACAGGTTTTCTGAGAACACAGTCGTAAAGTAGTAAAATTCTTTTTAATGAGCACTTAATAATAACATTAATAGTGTTTATATTATCAACCCATTATTACTCTATAATGACTTAAACGCCTAGATTAATAACAGAGATCTAAATGACTGTAAACTGGTATATTATAACATAGATAACTCATTATGATATGATATTAGTAAACTTATATACAACATATATATAATAAATTAATTCTTTGTCGGAAAATAGATTTTATTTCATTCAGCACTGTTATAAATATGCACGACACAACTGTCGCCGGATATTTTCGGGAAACCTAATTCCTGTTACCTTGTAACATTAAATCTGAGACCTGATGGGAAGATGTCGTCTACATTTTAATTTTTACTATTCTACGCTAATGGTTGCCCCTGAAATTTTGTCGCGATGTCTTTATTTCGTCTTGCATGTATTAATTTGACGTAGCCTTAGATCGAGAACAATTTTGCGATTTATGTGATAGTTTGAGACAAACCTGTTAACTACTATTTCGGATTTTATTACTCGAGCCGACGTGACTTTGAAGTGTTACAGTTCTCTTATGAAGATGGGATAAAGTTGTAGTTTCTTTTAATATATTTTTTTTTTCATTATAGTTATGATCATAAAACTTATTTGGTTATCTAGTGGCAGTGAGTTACAATTCAGAATCATGTTAGATAATAGCCACTTCACTGTAGATGCTAAGTCGATGTCGAAAGCTATTACAGATACTTTTATTACTTTCTTTGAAAGTATAATTGACCCAGTCGTGAACCGTTGTAATGCAAATCCTAGGATCTATCACTGTCATATGACTCAGTTAAAAGGTTAAGATCCGACAAAGGTTAAATACAATTTGATTGTATTTATTTCCAAGGAAAAATATGAATGAATTATATTCTGTATACATATTCTTCTTAGTCAATATTCCGGTTACTGTGGTGGGTTTTCCCAACGTATTTTCTTCACTTCGTCCGAACTTGCGAATGCTTTATGGTCATATTGTCTGAAGTCATATCGTATAATAAAAAGTAAAGTAAAGTAACAGCCTATATATGCCCCACTGCTAGGCAAAGGCTTCCTCTGTACAGAGGATATCCGAGAATATTCCACCACGCGGCCCCACAGGGGTTTGGCGAACTTCACATATCTTCGAAATATTTTTATTTTTGTTATTATTTCGAAGAATATGCAGGTTCCGCTCCTCAAGATGTTTTCCTCGTAGCACGTGATAGCTCAGTGTCCGGGCGCTCGCCTTTAATTAAATTTACTCGAGCAACCTGAGTTTGATCCCCGTTGCAGGCATCAATTAAATTGTTAATTTTAAGTGGTGACTTATCGTATTATAAATCATCTTCCTCAGCTCCCAGCGACTCATATTGCTGGGAAAGTTTACGCGTGATATGTTACGTTAGCACAATGGACACCTATCATAAAGCGCTATCGTTGTTTCGAAAACGACTTCAGCTCCCAGCGACTCTTATTGCTGGGAAAGTTTACGCGTGATATGTTACGTTAGCACAATGGACACCTATCATAAAGCGCTATCGTTGTTTCGAAAACGACTTCAGCTCCCAACGACTCTTATTGCTGGGAAAGTTTACGCGTGATTTATTACGTTTGCACAATGGACACCTATCATAAAACGCTATCGTTGTTTTGTAGCAACATCACAGTTTCGACGAATCGCTTCTCGGAATTTGGTCCGAAGTTCGCGGTTGAACGACCCCTTGGCCCACAACGTTTACTCTAAACGAGAGTCGAGACATTCCACCGCTTATTAGTCCGTTTCTTAAGCGCTTCTTCGCCGGTGACTTTGACCCGTTCTCCGTGCTATTTATTCCACAAAAACGTATCACCGTAACGCGCGAGAGTACTCCACGTTAAAAGTACTAATACGGAGTTAGTGGGCCACACGTGTCATTAGGCTAACGGACTATGTTTGCATTATATTTTAGTACTTAACGATGTTCGGTTCACGGTGTTCGTAACGATTCTATTACATTTACCAATATCTTATTTGGTATGCTAATGTTAATGACCGATTACACGGGTTGCGTAATCATTTGTTGCCTATGTAATTTTTACATGTGCCGATTACGTTCGTATAATCACTTCGGCGTAAGAAGCGTTAAAAAGATTACGATTGATTAGGTTCCCGTATGTTTCAAGGATTCAGCGCATTGAACCCGGGCCGGTTTTCTAAATAACTTTTTCTTTAAATCTTTTCTAAAAAAAACTTATATTATATTTAGGTTTACTATAACAATAAAGGCTCTTAGAAAAAAATATTATTCAAACTTTGCAACATCGGATTTTATAGATGTCTTATTTTTGATGATTTTCTCTTTAGGAATAATGGCGGAATAAAGGCTAACGATAGTTAGCGAAATTAGGGTGAATCAGCTTTTGCAAATATACCTTTGATTCTTTCTCAGGGTCCAGAAATGGTACGCGTGTCCAAATTCTACAAAGACGCGAAAAATGGACGGTTCCTGCGTTATCTGCACGACGACACGCGCACACTATTTGAAACTTTTCGACGGGGCGTAAAAGAATCAAGTAAGTGTGGCTTTCCGCAAACATTTTTTTTAATGTGAAAAATTGGCAAACGGGCTGGCGGCTTTACTTGATGTTAACTAATAACCGCCGCCCATGGAATAACGCATTTGAAAACACTCGTAGTGTCGACCTCAATCACCAGACGAAGCGCAGAAGTATAACACTTCTACTTTACGCCGGTCTTCTGTGAGGTCGTGGTAATTACCCATTTTATTAACAGTTAAAACTGTTGCGTGGCCCTACCACATTCAATACCTACCTACCACATTCATCGCTGTATGCAATTTTATCAAGTTGCTTGCTTGTTATTATAATGAATTAAACTCAAATAAAAAAAGGAATATATTACGTAAGGAATAAAAGTTACTTTTGGGTGTTTGCATGTCAGATGTATGTATATTATGTATGAAGTAGCAGTAAACTTCGTCGTGAATTAAAGATAAAACTAACGAAAACGAGTTGCCTTGGGCGTAGCACTATAGTTCATCTTATTTTCCGCAGGATTTCCGATCATTAAAGATAAATACGGTAATAGCACCTATGCGTTACATAGAGAATGTATACTCCTTATCCAGTGTATCGCCAACATCTTAAGCGAACAGGTTTACAAGATACTGTTAAACTTAATTTGCGCTAGTGGAGTTGTCAAGACGGTCTACTTGTTTTTTCCGATACGGCCGCTTCGGACCTGTCGTGCCGTTGAAAACAAAACAAAGCGGGAAATCGGAGCTACAATGTTGCTTTAATGCGTGGAATATTCCGCGTATAATGCGGTTGAAACCTACGTAATCGCTTCCCAGATTGAACAAACATAAATAAAATGAAAAAGGTGCATTCGTTCACAGCTTCACGGACGCGTTCTCGACTCTTTTTTATACACAAAAAAAAAAACGCGCATAATCCAATTTTATCACAGTAACCGCTAATTAATTCCTTTGCAGATAATGGCAACTGTCTCGGTTGGCGCGAGGGACCAAATAAGCCGTACATATGGCAAACTTATAATGAGACCCTGTTGAGAGCGAAAAATTTCGGATCGGGCCTGATATGTCAAGGCCTCGCTCCAGGTCAAAGTACCTTTGTGGGTTAGTGTTGTGTTCTTTAAAATTAATATGTATAGTGAATTAAATTCAGCATTAAGGCCTTGAGATATGACAATGTAAAAATATTGTTTACAGGCATCTACGCGCAGAATTGCCCGGAATGGATCATGACTGAACAAGCCGCCTATTGCTATTCAATGGTCATAGTGCCGTTGTACGATACCTTAGGTGCCAACGCGTGTGCCTTCATTATTAACCAAAGTAATGCACCTTGTTTTGTTTACACAAAGAACTTACCCTTTCATGTTTTCCCCAGTGAATGTTGCCACGAACGACCTTGTTTGTTCGCAATCGTTTAGTCAAAGGTCAGAGACAGGACAGTGGAATCCGCTGTGTTTGGATGAGTCGAAGTGCATCCGGATAGTTTTATTTAACCACCTTTTCGCAGTAACAATTAAATAGTAATCCTTCTACGAACTTCACGAGGAATTTTTTTTTATTATAAATAACGCGATCCATGTCATCTGTTCAGGCAATAAAACAATGAGTTCATCCAAGTTTTAAAACGTTTTCTGACCGTTTATAGCTGCTATTTTGTTAAACGTTTGACTGGCGAAATGCGATATTATTACTTTGCAGAAAGCGTCCGATAAAGCTCAGATTAGAGACCTGTTGACTCTTCTTTTATAAATATTTTCCGTGCTTACACTAACCTTTTCTTTCACAGCTGAAATGTCGATAGTGGTGTGTGAAGACGATAAGAAGGCGAATCTCCTACTGGACCAATCACCTAGATGCTTGAGGAAACTCGTCACAATTAAAGAGGTTTCCCCGTCTACGCATCAAAGGGCCAGGAGTCGCGGCGTCGATATTGTGAAATTCAGTGACGTGGAGATACTAGGAGCGCAGAAAGACCACCCATTTGTCGTGAGTATCAGGAGTTATTTTTATATGGATCCATGCCGTCATCATCTCTTATCGTCATCCTCATCATTTCGATCTTATAATTATTTGAATAGTAATGATTAAGAGGTATACTTGTATTTTAATACCTAAATCGGAATCTTTAAACTTTCTCCTCTCTTCGTTTTCGTCTCTCTAAAAGCTGTATATAAGTGGAATGCGCTAACTTTAAACACAACCGAAACTCGTTTGTTTCATACCTGCCCATTTTCCTCTTTAAACAATTCGAAGATATAAGCGTATGCTTAATGCTTTCACTTATCGCCTATGCAATGCCTACTTTATCTACGTACACCATTTTATATTCTTACTGACGTAAGACTTAACTAACTTAACTATTCTCAGCCACCGAATCCGGAGAATCTTTGCACGATCTGCTACACGTCAGGAACTACTGGAATGCCCAAGGGCGTGATGCTCACCCACGAGAACCTGGTCGCCTCCATGTGCAGCGTTATCATGCAGCTCGGCGAGCACCGGCCCTCGAAGCATGACGTCATGATCTCCTTCCTACCCCTGGCGCATATGCTGGAGCGGTGCTGCGAGGTATTATGGCCGACAGTCAATCAATTTTATTTAAAATAGAACTAATTCATGCATTCAATCAACTTCCGCCTTAAACATTATCTGTGTAAAGCGTTGGTAAAGACGAAAAATAACAATCATATTCTCTGCATACACTTAGTACGAAATGTTAACAGTAACAACCCCTGTATAACATTTAAAATAAAATCAAATGTTTGGTATTTTTATGAGTCATTGACGAATAGCTTTTATCTATTACAATTAAATATCTGATCTGTTACAAAAAGCTATTTTTTTTTATTTCTCGCTTAAAAAATGAAGGTCAAAGGTAGACTAGTAATTTTACCTTTGGATTTGGGTCACAAACCTTAAGTAAATATTTTTTATTTACATGCGTAAAAATAAATCCATTTTATTGACACATTGACATTTTGGGTTTTTCAGAATGCTCTCTACATGGTAGGCGGGGCGGTCGGCTTCTACAGCGGTGACATAAGAAGACTTGGAGACGACCTAACCGCTCTAAAGCCGACAATGATGCCTGCCGTGCCCCGTTTACTTAATAGGCTTTATGATAAGGCTCAGAATGAGATCTCAAATTCAAAGATCAAGAAGCTGCTGTTCAACATGGCGCTTTCTGCTAAGGAATCTGAACTGAAAAGGTATGATTTAATCCCAAAAGTATCCAGAACGGTTCCTTTGGCGTACTAAATTTCTCCTTGACTTTTTATATTGTTCCTTGTAATCGGAGAAAACGACGGAAATGAGTATATATTGATTTTAAAGGTCGGTTAGTTTCAAGTTAAAGGTGGAAATGTCAATCAACTGTCATGCACCGAAATTTTCAAGTAAATGTCTTCGAATTACAGTACACTATAGTATTTTTTGAAATATTAACAAGCATGTTTTTTGTTAAGAATACTATGAGTTACTCCCAAAAATATTTAGTACTATTCGAGAAACACTTATAATAATATCTTGGTTCCTCTCTAAATAATTCATAGGATTTTTACTTTTAAAGAACTAGTTCGTAATTGTTTTAGACTTCTATATAGGGACAAAACCCCTTATTTCAGAGTACATACAACGCATAATTATGCGCTCTGTATAGACTGATAGCTTTAAAATGTTATTAGTCTTTTAGCAGACGAGTTAGTATCTAGTGACAGCGATTTTAAGACATTATTGGATTTATCCAGGGGTATTATCCGTGGAGATTCAATCTGGGACAAGCTGGTGTTCCGAAAGGTCCGAGAAGGCATGGGCGGCAGACTGCGCATCATGGTAGTCGGTTCGGCCCCACTCGCCGGCAATGTCCTCACTTTTGCACGCTGCGCCTTAGGTTGTCTGGTAAGTCTTACGAGTTATGTTGATTAATTTGTCAAATAGGTGCTATCTAACCGGACAAATAAATTGTGCACAAATTGTTTCTTGTCTCTAAAGTCTGTGCAGTGACCATTAACGCTGTAAAGGGTTCGAAACGTAGGGAATTTAAGATCAAATATAAAGCGAAATATTTTAATTTGACCATGTACACACATTATCAATTATAATTCGAATGAAAGAATTAATGGAATTACTTTATTATATAATATATTTAATAACGATAAGTAAAATATGTAATTTACGTATAGCACCATAAACTTTTGTCGTTTTGCTCCATTCATTTATTACAAAATAATTTTTACTTATTTTGTATATAATGTTAATGCACGCCATGGATTTGTTTTAACACGAGCGTGAATAACAATGATTTATGCAAAAGCTATTTTCCACTGCACATTCAAGTTATCTAATGCAATGAAATATTTCGACAGTCAATCATTTTCCGAGAACTCGCAACAAACTGTATGGAGGCGTTTACTATTAATAATAATATTTGTTGGATTCCTCGAGGTCGAATGTGTTCAATACGCCGAAGAGTTCCAGATAATTTATATTTATTTGTTATTTTTCTCAATCTGCACGGGGCCCATCTGTTTGCTTTGGACGATTGGACTTATGACAGAGAATTTACGAAGGCGTATTGGGATAATAATAATTTGGCCAGTTCATAACTATTCCCGTTTATAGAGAAATTAATATGTTTAATACTTTACTTTTCAAAATACGTTTTATATTTTTCCATTATGATTGGATTGTTATATCGATTTTCAATCCTTTTTCAAACCTTCATATGGCACCACTTTTACCACATAGACGAGTAAATGTATCTTTTTTTTAAAGAAATATTTATTTAACACCTTTTTTTTAGATCAGTTACTATAAGTCTCTTTCTATTTGGTTACTGCTTTCTTTTTATTACTCTTTCACATTTTGGTATTTTGTATATAAGTATGTATTGTATTATAATGTTTTTGTAACATATGACTTTAAAATGTTTCAATTTCAAATTTTTGCCACACCGTCGAAAATCTCAACGTCTTTTATCTATATTGCTTTTTCGCATTTCAAGCAATGCTTGAAGTCTATCGTTATGTCCTTTACAGCGTACAAAAATATCGTTTTCTTAATACGGATTACATGGATTGTATCAATTGTACAGCATTCTCGTCGATACAACGAGATTTGCATTTATTTGTCCTATGATTTATCATTTATCTTGCGATAGATTCAACAAAAAATCATAGCGAATGCCTATGGGAGGTGGTTCGCCTAGCGAAGCCTTCAGTTGTTTGGCTTTCTATGAAAGTGCGCTGCAAACTTTTCCAGATCGTAGAGGGGTACGGTCAGACGGAATGCACCGCGCCGGTCACTCTGACGGTGCAGGGCGACCACGTGCCGGAGCACGTCGGGCCTCCCGTCGCTTGTTGCAAAGTGAAGGTAGGCGTTCAATGCGGCTGTATGCATCATGAGGATTATAATACTCCTATCTTATCCATACTAATATTATAAATGCGAAAGTAACTCTGTCTGTCTCGCTTTCACGCCAAAACTACTGAACCGATTTAAATGAAATTTGGTACACAGATAATCTGGAGCCTGAGAAAGGACATAGGCTATTTTTAATTGAAATTTTTTTTAAGGAAAGATATTTATTTAGGGGTTCAAGCCGCGGGCGAAAAGCTAGTAGGACATAAGTGCAACCCAACTTTACATATACGTGGCTGCTCGTTCTATTTTAACCGACCGCGTAGCCTTATCTCTCATTTAGAAAAACTCTCATTACTTTGATTGAATGATGTTCAAACTGGGGCTCGTGGTGTTCCCAAGGTCTCACATTTACTGACTCCCGAACACTGAACGGATAACCAATTGGGTTATCGGCAAAAATATAGCATGCTCTGCTTTACATAGTGATGAATAATGCTAGGTGCTGGTGATCAAGACGAATAAAATTTCCTTACCAAAGCCTCAATAAACAGCAAATAAGAGAGAGATTTACACTAATTTTTTTTTGTCCAAGCGTTACATATTATGTATAAGAACGTTTCAAGATAAACAGCGTTTTTATAATTGTTGTAAAATGTCAGGTAAAAGTTCTAGCGTATTTTGGATAACATATAGTAAGACTCGAAGATCTATATGTTTAAAGGTACAAGAAGTTAGGAAGGAATCGATCGTGAAATTTATAAATAAAGAAAAATAAAAAACAAGCCCGGTTAAGTGCGAATGTACAACTAAGCGAAAGGCTTGGACGGACAAATTAGGAGTCATTAAACGAGGTTTATTGTTTGAGTTCGATGTCTTTGGGATTTCATTCATCATAAGATATACCGCCATTTGTCTTCTCACTTAAATCATTAGATTACTATTGTGTTAAAATTAGGTTAAAGGTTTTTTGTTTAATTTAGATTTCTTTTCTTTTTCACAATATTTGGTAGTTTTTAATGTATGTTGTCTCCTTAAGGTGTTCCTATAAATATTGAGTTCTTGATTTTATGTGAATATTCGTCTACGGCTGGAAAGGGTTCGAAACGTCGGAAATTACAAAATCAAAATGAAAACGCAATAAAATCTGTAGTAGTATCATTTAATATGTTCCAATAAATGTTTCTTTCTTTCTTTCATATACCGCCATTTTTCGTCACCCTCTAAACGTGCTCCGGTGATTCCAGCTAGTGGACGTGCCCGAGATGGAGTACTACGCAGCGCAGGGGCAGGGCGAAGTGTGCGTGCAGGGCGCCAACGTGTTCAAGGGCTACTTCAAGGAGCCCGAGAAAACGCGGCAGGTCATCGACCGCGACGGCTGGCACCACACCGGCGACATCGGCAAGTGGCTGCCGGTGAGTGTCACCGTCGTGTTTTCATCGCTGATTCGCTGGTTATATAGCTCGTGGCGCTGGGAGAGGGAGGAAAGGTTCCCGAGCGGTAGCCTTGCATTGGCCATGCCGGCGTGGGTACGATGACTGTGGGAATGTGGAGCTCATGGATGCCGGTGCCTGGATAGCGAAAATTCAATTCAAAGTGAAAATTAAATGCGTGCTTCTGTATCGAATATAGAAGCACACTTTGAAGCACATTTGTTTATCAATAAGTATTGATTGACGAAATTGTACTACTGCCGGTTCGGAAAAGAAAAGCCATTGATCTGAGTAGAACCGGCGAATGAAACTCAGCGGAAAAAGCGCTTTGCGGCAGACTTGTTGTAAGCTGAAATGATGACGACAATAACGAATAATGGCATCCATGCAAACTGATTATAGATGGTGATACAATCAGAGATGGCAATCCCTTAATTTGGTACAACTTACTCTTACCTAGAAGAGACCAATATTGTAATCTACCAAAAAGTCAGACGCAGGGAAAGCTGAACCTTATCTTAACGACTTTTACCAACTTTGCTAAAAGCAAAGCTTTGGTACAGCCACGCATCTGTGCATCATGTTAATTGCCCTAATGGTTCGATGTATGCTCATATTCATGTAAGGCAATGTTTTTGCACCAGCAGAATTATTGTGACACTTTTGTAAGAGTCATGGTGCAGCTGTGGTCGGACTACACAACAGTTTCGGCTGTTGCACGAGTGGGCAGGTCCGTCCGGGTAAGAACCACGACCTCATAGAAGACCAGCGTGAAGAACAAGTATACTTCTGCGTTTCGTCTAGTGAGTGAGGTAGCCGGAGCCCGATTTATTAAAAGATGACAACGCATCTGTAACCTTATCGGTGTTTCAAATGTCCATGAGTGGCGGCTATCACTTAACTTAAACATTAGATTAACTGCCAGCTCGCTTACCACCTTCTCACATAAAAAAAGGAACAACAAAAGCTGATTTGGGATTAACAACTTTTTTGAGGAAGTAGCGTAACCTGACGGAGTATTTACGTAAAGAAAAATTGTTTACATTTCTGCTTTTATTGTGTTAAGTTACCAGGGGCGAACTAAGCACCACTCATGTACACTAGAGACACAGAGTCTTCTGAGAAAATTGTTACGTCGTTGTTTAGTATTCCCAATAAATAAAAAAATATATCTTGCAGTCGTTCACACTATTTGCAAATTGTCCTAAACGCGTTTAGACGATGATATCGAAATTTATTTTGTTCCAGAACGGTACTTTGAAGATCATCGACAGAAGAAAGCACATCTTCAAGTTGTCACAGGGTGAATACATAGTGCCGGAGAAGATAGAGAACATTTATATAAGGAGTCAGTACGTTGAACAGGTCTTCGTGCACGGCGAATCATTAAAAGTGAGTATTCGTATATCGAAATCTCATACGGTCACACTCATAAACAAAATTTAGCACTTTAAATTTAATTGTGCCTAGTTCATACTTTTAAAGATTCCGAAGTTATATTATATGTACAGATAAGAAGTTAATGAATAACAAGATATTAATTCTTTAATGGAAATCGAAAACTTAATTTTATCCACATACATTAGAATACTATAGACGTAGTGGACTATGAAGTTTCAATTATTTCTATAGGACTAACAGATTTTCTTTCAAACTTTCTTATATTTGTTTTTATAAATTTCAAATAGCAATTTGTACTTGTTCCATTATCTTGTGTATTATTTAAATAAAATAAATTAAATTATTTCGCAAATTTCTCGAACGCTCCGTTACAACAGCGTAGTTGGCAACTGCTGCGATTTCATTAAATAGAGGAGAAATATCTTTGCCTCATTAATGAGTCATTGTTTGTTCCAAATACCTTTAATTCTAATGTATCGTTGTGAAATGTTGTTATGTTTATGTTGTGGTTACGTTACTTTGTGCCCTCGGCAATAAATCGGCACTTGTCAGTACTTATACGTCAAACAATCATCACATGCAATTAGTAAATGCCAATTTTTTTGGTCCACGTCCAAATCACGCCATTATTGGCTCACTGTCGCAAGCAAGAAACAATGTTTCAGGATTTCAAATGCTTATTATGGCTTCATAGTTGTAATGTGGCTCTTGGATTCAGAACATTCGAAAGTTCTTTTAACTTTGATGATTAGGTACTTATCAAATTAAATCAATTGAAATAAATTGATAGTGAATGCTTTAAGTGACGTCATCCACAAAGTCAGACTATAGTTTTTTTCTTTCTAAAAATAGAGTTTTAAACATATTTTATATTTAAAATTAAAAAGGGTAACTGAGTAAGTAAAGTAAAGTAACAGCCTATACATGTCCCACTGCTGGGCAAAGGCCTCCTCTATACAGAGGGTATCAGGGCATAGTCCACCACGCGGCCCCACTGCGATTTGGTGGACTACACATATCTTCGAAATATATATATATATATATATATATATATATATATAATTATATATATTGTTATTATTTCGAAAATATGCAGGAAATTCCTCACGATGTTTTCCTTCACCGCGGAGCACGTGATAAGTCAGCACTTAAAGTTAAAAACTTCATTGGTGCCGGCACCGGGGATCGAACTCAGGTTGCTCGAGTATATTGAATTAAAGGCGAGCTCCCGGACACTGAGCTATCACGGCTCTCTGAGTACTGAGTACTGAGTACTGTAGAAAATTTTTCTTTATTAAAACTTATGGACGGATATGTTTTTACAGTTTCTGTGATAGTGTAGTAAGTATGATGTACCATCACTTGGTCCGAATCCTCGATTGCCTTAATTATAATAAATCTCAAAAAAAAACCTAAAGCTTCTATTGAATTCCTATATATGCATGTTTTGATCTTCACCTTCATAATATTCCAAGCCACTCATATGAGATATGGCATCCTAATTGTAGCATTAAAGTATGAACTTCGAAAATCAATTAATGTATTTCTTTTAAAGAGTTTACCGACGTCTCTCAGTGCGGAGGTCACATCGAGATATATAATAATAGCGAGCATAATCTTTTGTAGTCGTGCGTGGTGGCGGTGGTGGTGCCCGACGTGGACGTGGTGAAGTGCTGGGCGCTGGAGCACGGCATCCAGGGCACGTTCTCCGCCTTGTGTGAGGACGAGAGGGTGAAGCGGGTGATCCTCGAGGACATGCTGCAGTGGGGAAGGAACGCTGGACTGAAGACGTTCGAGCAGGTACGGCCTACCTCAATAATGATAAACACGCGCATCCGAATCTTTCATTTTGAGGTTATATGCGTATAAAGTGCGGTAGAAAGTCTTTCACATCAAGTTTCATGAATATCTATGAACATATTGCAATCTCTCTCTAAATACTAACACCCGATTTCTGAAACAATGATCATCGTAGAAATTAACTAACAGCTGTCAAATTGCTTTCCAAATGTCATTTGAGTTGCCAAAAGGATGGTTAAACTCTTTGAATAGATAATAATGATCTTCTTAATGATCAAAATGACCAGTAGGTGGTAGTGTTGACGTTTATAAGAACTTGGAACATGCCTAAATTAAAAGAGCGATTTGAATTCAACTTTCAAACTGCGGTGATATATATGTGTAGGTATAATTTATTGAGTTTGCGACATATATAGAGACACACGGGCGACTAGATTGTACAAACATCATATATTAAATATTTCATGTACTTTCAACGTGTGTATGTCCTAATGCCACTTTTATTTATTGAGAGACTATCTTGAAATGAGATGATATTTATCGGCGTTCATTTTTTTAACAGAGACAGATTTAAAAATAATATATACGCGGGACAAAAATCGCTTTTATTTTTAGTTCCAGCTCGATAAATTGTTGTCAGTGTCATGTACCAAGGACAGTATTAAAATAGAACGCAAGCGATAACAGCAAATCAATAACTCGGCGGGAGTGATTGAACGAATGCGGTGTGAAGAATATTACTTAGCTACAGTAATTTTCCTTTTGTTAATACGCATAAGTTAAGATAGGATATTATTATTATTAGATAAGATGATTAACATAGATATTTTTCGTCATCATTTTTTAAAAATATCGATGTTGATATGGTACACACAAAATTTTAATTTTTGAAGAGATTTTATTTACTTACATTTAGTTACTGGCACTTAAAATTTCATGAAGCATGTCTTGTAGAGACGAATTGTCATTTTTTTAATCTAAAATGGGCTTTAACCCTTTTTTATTATTATACATGAATTACATAAACATTAATTTCAAAAGAATAAAAAAATCCGGCCAAGTGTGAGTCGGACTCGGGCACGAGGGGTTCCGTATCATTATCTACTCTGTGTAACTATCACGGTTCATAAGATACAGCCTGGCGACAGACGGACAGACAGTCTCGTTTTCCCCTTTGAGTACGGAACCCTAAAAAAGACTTCATTTTAGATTTAAAAACAATGCATTCAAATCAATTCAACGCCGGAAATCGATTCGATAAGAGAAAGATGTTTTGTTAAAACAACAAAAAAAATGTAAGTAAATAATTTTATAGATTTTATCACTTTCTAATATTAGCGAAGTACCTATCAGACACCGTGGAAATTTAGATTCAAATAAAACTAAGATTGGTTTAACCACTGATGAAAAAATCAAAAAATATTAAAATCGTCATTCCGTCTAATCGTCGAATTTATTTACAGGTGAAGGATATCTACTTGCACCCGGATCCTTTCTCCGTGCAGAACGGCCTCCTCACACCGACGATGAAGGCGAAACGACCTGAGATCAGGAATTACTTCAAACCGCAAATAGAGGACATGTACAAGCAGCTCGAATAACGATTGTTTGTTTCGTATCGATTATAATTTTCAAAAACTCTATACACACGACGTCGGTGGAAGGAAGCGATGTCGACCCAACTGATTCCTAAAAACGATTTTCGTTTAGAAATAGTGTTAAGTTGTAACTGTAATAAGTGCTATAAAACTATATTAACGTTTACTTTCTGAATCGATATATAATCGAACGATGCCACCTCAGCGTCGTACTCATTTCTCTTTATACCTACTATGCAACATTATATCTATAAATTGCGGATCAGTTCGTGCGAATATGAATATGTAGTTCGTGACCGGTACGAACTCGTTTATGCTTTAAATTTCATCTTTCTTACGTATTCGAAAAGACCGCGGTGGATTTGCACTGGAGTACAGAATGTCGGGAGCGTATGGAACTTTAATATTTACTATTCATAAGGCGATTATGTTCATTCGAAGCGACACACTAGGATAGGGAGATGCGCGAGTCTTTATAAGGCAATAATCGAAGAAACAACGGTTTCTTGTGCAGTCAATTAATTAACGGCGTGTTTGTAGAGGAGCTGATTTGGCTTAATGTTAATAGCACATTGTATTGAGTGCGATTGTTTGTTACTTTTAGCGAGTTGTAGCCGCCGCCTTTCAGATTGCCGTATCTGTTTACATTATCCATGACATATGACTAACCCCAGAACCATGTGATATCTCGTAACGTTACAACTCCGATAGTGGGAGCTGAACAAGAACTTAAAACATCGCCACACTGTAATCTCAACTTTCGCCGAAAGAAAATGCATGTTTATCATATTTTTAACCTCGTGAACGAACAATGAACCAAAAATAAAAACGCAAGTAAATATAAACGTTATATCTATTAAGTAATTTTTACTGAAGTTTTTTTTTTTTTGTGTTATATTTCAAAAATAAATAGCTATAGCACGTACAAAAACGACAATAATTTTTTAAAAAGTCCCTTACTTTTTTTATCCTGGGAAAGGAATGACAGTGTGGCAAAAGCTTAATTTAACTACATTTTAATCATTGGTTTAATATTGGCACACAAAAAAAAATTATATAAAATCAACAACGATTATGAAAGTATGGACTCGATACAATTAATGAATAGTATTTTTTGCACTAACTAGACACGATACTGTAGACTAAAAGGTTGTAGGCCAATTTTTATAGGAAATACCTTATACACTACTACTACAAAACTAGGGTAATTTTTTAAACAATACAGTCAAATAAGAAATTTAGAAAAATTTAAAGGTTTCCTTAAATAAAACTTGAAATATTGTTTTTTTACACAAACGACGTCTATGTAGTGTTCGAATCGAAATTATTTCAAATGAAATTATTATTCATCAAAGTTTTTGCGGATATGCTTAAACAGTGCCTTTAGAACCACCCATTTGTACTTAAATTACATTTTATCAAAAATCTACGGTTTGGTACTTATACAATGTGTAAAAAAACAAATAGAAAATAATAAAAGCTTCCCTTTCTGCACAGATTATGTACGAAGTGAAAATAGTCGAACACCACATTTGTTTCTCGGCTTTTAATAGTTGTAATCTTTGCCACAAATATATAAGTGGCATATTACTAAGTTGATAAGTGATGTGTTTGTAATAATATGTTTGTTTTTTTTTTTCTTATTGCTACTGAGTGCTGTATTACGTGGCACTTACGGACGAATCTCTTCTTGTGTTTGCAATGTGTGATGAATGTTGTTTTTTAATTACGATGTATCCAGACGAAGTCGAAAGCTTAGCAGCTATCGCGAGTCATACATGTAGATAACTTTATATTCATTTCTAATCTGAGGCGATCCATGCTTAGAGCGAATGTTACAGTTTCGTGTTGTTCAAGCCAAAATTTTGTTGTTATTGGTGCAAGTTGTACTACGATAATTTATTTTTAAATAAAACTTTCGAAAACTTGATTGTGAATCTCTTTTATTTTAATATCGCTTATTGAAATTTGCATTTAAATAAATAAACATAAAAGGCGTTCCACTGGAATTAAGCTAAGTAAGTTCCTCTTTTTATTAATAGGTGCTGGATTCGAAGAAGCCTATAATACCTGCCAGTTATCCAAATTTTTAAAGGTTAACTACATTTTAAACTGTAAAAATATTATATATCTGTTGTGTTATTGAGGAGAGAGGACATAATTATATAGGTATAACATAAAAAAATATTACTAAAATCGGAAACATCAACATTGTTTACCTGTCCGCTTCACGTGGAATGCCCCATGAATTAAAATGAAATATATATGAATTAGTATCAGACTGTTCTAATCAAAACGGCATAATTTTTTAATAAAATTTTAGCAAAACAAATTTATTGCTTTTTAAGTTTCAATTTAGAACCCATTCCATCGATTGTTTACGTGAACTAAACATAAACGATAAAACAAAACAAGAAGGGCACACCGTTCCTTATTCTAAATTTAATTGAGAAGTAATAAAAAATGGCAAGAAACTCTTTCAAAAAATCAAATACCTTTGAGATAAGGAATTTATTTCAAAATTTTATTTTAAAAAACAAAACATAATCGAAAACAAGGTTAGCGGACCCATTAGGAAAATTTCAAAGAATAATATGGTTCCAAAACAAATTAAGGTTTTGGAACTTAAATAGTGCTCAAATAACATTGATTTTCTTTTGCATGTTACCCTCAGTAGAAATATCACACGGTCCTTCTAAATTGCCGTGGTCATGCAATTGCACTAAGTTTCCCAAATAATTGTCCATTTACAAATGGCAATTACAGTTATAGCTTTATATGATATCAAAAACATGTATCAGTCTTCAGAAGTTTTTGTAATCTTTTAAAATATTAATATCTTATTTTAATTTATTACTGGGATGCATCTTAATGAGTCTCTGGGATGCAATCATCAGATCCGAGTTTCTTTATCATGGTACCACCATTGGGATATCTCCTTTCCAACAATAAAAAAAAATCATCAAATCGGTTCATAAACGACGAAGTTATCCGTGAACACACAAAAAAAAATATGTACGGTCGAATTGAGAAACCTCCTTCTTTTTTGAAGTCGGTTAATAAAAATACACTAAGTCTGCTACAGAGTAGAAATGATGGTCTAGAGTCTCTAAAGTTACTAAGCTGTTGCTTCGTGTAATTTAGAACGGCGGTGCATTCCCGAAAATGAATCTGAAAATATTCTTTGTATGATGCAACAACTATGCCAAGTATTAAATTTGGTATGATTAATAAAAACATACTACGTTACCTAGATCCATATTAGTTGGGCTTAAATCACAGAACGAGAGATAAGCTACTTGCTACTTATATAACCTACAAATGCAACCCCAAAGGGCTGGCAGGGATGCTACTAGGTTAATACTGAATGTATCGGTATTTATCTGCGTATTAATAGAGTTCGTAATTAAGACATCAGCAGTAGAACAAATGTCATTAACATAAGAGGTTTCTTAAGCTGAAGTGATAATGAGACGGCCATATAACTCGAAGAACCGATGACCAATGGGGAAGAAAGTTTCTTGAGTGGCAGGCACGCATTGGCCATCTTAGTGTAGGACGACCCTCACTAAATGTAGTGACGACCTGTGCAAGTGTGCGGAAAGTCGACAGATGCGTATGGCTTAGGATCGTGATTCGTGGTCGTTTATGGGGGAGGCCTATGTTCAGGGACTCCAATGGATGAAATGATGATGATGATGATGATGAATGATGAAACAGGTTAAAGTTATTCATAATAGTGAATTATTGGATAGTGGGTATGTTGTATATCGTAGAGACAGGAAATCATTATATCAATTGACACCCTCAGTGTCGTCGACACTAAATACCCCATTAGAGATATTTGGCATACGATAAGTACCGCCTTTTATTTTGATACATTTTAACTCTAACAATTTGTTTCACATATACCTACATATCCTTGTAATTTTACTATGTTATACAGGTGGCTTTTCTAAATGTATCCTTTTTTTTATTAAATCCTATACAAATAATGTTATATAAAAATGATAAATATTTAAAATCACTCGTAAGTAATTGATTACATTCATTTGAACTTATCTCAAAAAGTGCGTGATTTATACGCAACTCATTTATTTTACGCGCGATCATTCATAACTAACACGCGCACATTGTCAACACGTTCTGTTTTTTAGGGCATTTTTTTTTGGAAAACAAAACTTTGTTTTTTATTTCAATAAACGATTATACTACCGAGTCTGAACCTCCTGTGTAAATTTGGGCACGTTTAAAACAGGCTCCCTGTATAAAAAACTTTATTAAGTAATAAGTCAGCCTAACAACATTTTACGTTACTGCTTTTTTATTTGTTTTTATCTGTTTGTTTTTTATTTCAGCATGCCGTGTTTGATTCTTAATTGGATGTATATTGTGCTGTAATAATAATTAATGTTTTATATGACTTTGTTTAATGTAACAAACACCGATGGACCCAAAAAATTTATAAGTATATAAGAATTCAGTAGAAAATCGCACTCATCATAAATCAAAAGTTATCAACACACGTCTAAATGCAGTCACAGATAATTAGGATTCATTGGTGGAACAAGGAAGACGTTGAATGGTCCTCGAGAAATCTCGTAGAGATAATCTGCGTTTATTTTCATCTCGTGACGCAATCGCCTATGGCCGTGAAGCGACATATAGGTCAGTGTGAAGCGTGTTTATAGGCATAATGTATTTTAGCGCTATAATTTTTTAATGACACCGAACCTTTACTTAGAACTTTGCAAATGAAGCAAGTTTACACTTTTCAGTCTGAACCATATTAAGTTTATTCTATGGCAAAACTGCAAATTTAATTCTTGATTTGGGGTTCTTTGACGATAACCGTATTTGTACCCGATAAATAATTTGTAAAGTGTAAACAATACTCGAGTCTTCTCTTAGATGTTCCTGGTGAAAAACAGTGTTATTTATGTGATGGGTTTGCCTTCGATGTTAGTAGTGATCCTAATTAGCATAGATTATATATCGCT